CTTCCGACACGGCCCCCGCGAAAGGCCCTGGCTGACCTGGGGGCAGGGGTGGAGGGCGGGGCATCGGCCCCCCTACGGCTCCTTAAACGTCCGCACGCATCTTCCGGGACGTGGGGAACACGGACACCAAGTACAGGAACCGTGTGCGCAGCCGCCTCTCCAACCTCAAGGACGCCAAGAACCCCAGCCTGCGGCGCAACGTGCTGCGCGGCGCCATCACGCCCCAGCAGATCGCCGTGATGACCTCGGAGGTGAGCCCGTGGGGGCGCGGGGGGCCGCCCCTGGGGGGCCGCGGGCTGAGCACGCGCCCCTCGCCCCAGGAGATGGCCAGCGACGAGCTGAAGGAGATCCGCAAGGCCATGACCAAGGAGGCCATCCGCGAGCACCAGATGGCGCGCACGGGCGGCACGCAGACCGACCTGTTCACCTGCAGCAAGTGCAGGAAGAAGAACTGCACCTATACGCAGGTGGGCGCCGGCAGCCCTCCCGGGGCCCCGCCCCTCATCGGAGCCCCGCCCCTCCCGGAGCCCCGCCCCTCCTCGGAGCCGTCCGTGCCCCTGCTGTGCAGGCCCGATCCCCCCTTGCGCCTGGACACGTGCGGTGTGAGCGGTGCTGGGACGGGGGTCCGACAACCTAGTCTCCGATGGGGCCAGGAGCTGCGGTCACCCTTGGGGCCTCCCCCTTCCCGAGGACCCCTGCTCCCCAGTAGGCAGTCTCGGGCGGTGGATCCAGCCCGTTGGTTCTGGGGCACTGAAGTTTGGGAGCCCGGCCCCGCTGTGTTGCTGCTGGTGGGAGAATGGGTGCCCGGTGGTGGTAGCAGGACTCCACTCAGAGTTGTGGAGGTGGGCCCCAAGAGATGTCGGGGGGCCCTGTAAGAAGAAAGCGGGGCGACTGCAAGGTGGGGGTAGCAGGGCAGCCTCAGCCCAGGTGACGTGAGGCCAGCGTGGCCCGAGGCTGTGGGTGGCGGGCTCCGCAGGTTGTGACTCCTGGGAAGTCCTGCTCCCCGGGGCCTCCAGCTGCAAGGGACTGAGGCCCTGGGGCTGGGCCCCTCCCACCGTGGCCCTCCCCACAGGTGCAGACCCGCAGCTCCGATGAGCCTATGACCACGTTCGTCGTCTGCAACGAGTGTGGAAACCGCTGGAAGGTAGGTTGGTGAGCCCAGGCCATCCATCCCCAGCCCTGTTCTCTGGAGGTGGGTGTCTCCAGCCTTTGTGGGGTCTGTGGTGTGAATTGGGGGATGGCCACGCCAGCCAGCCTCCTGGGAGCTTTGGAGATGGTGGATGGAGACCCCAGCCCTGCGGGGTCCTGCAGGCCACATGGCTGGATAGACGCCTCTCACCTGTTTCTTGCAGTTCTGCTGAGCCCTGTGCATGTGTGCCTGCAGCCTTGGGCCATGGCCAATGCTGGCCGTCGCCCTTTCCCCATCCTCTGCCAACAGATACAGCTTCTCTGGAGACCTGCCCTTGGCCCACCTGGCCTTCCTCAGAAGGCAGCACACCCTGCCCCCCACCCTGCCTGCAGTGCACCTTTCCCCCTCTTACCCCCCCAGTTATTAAATGTTTCTTTTTGCCACTGTTTTTTCCCTAGCCCTTGGTCCTGGTGGGCCATGTACAGGCCTGGGCTTCAAGCTGGGTCCCCCATCCCTTCATCTCTGGTTTGATCCCCCCGACCCCCGCCGCTGCGGGGACAGCCCACCTCCCTGGGGTCAGGTGACGCTGAGGCTTGGCCTGTTGGGACAGCACTGGAGGGAAGAGCCCGCTGGCTCTCAGAGGGGCCTGAGTGTGCCCGTGGGAGGGGCAGGGCTGGGCCTGCATAGCATGAGGATCAGGTGTGGGGGGGCCGTGGGCGCACAGAGGAGCCGGGGTCTCACGACCTCTCCAGGCACCGCAGCTCAGGGTCCAGGGATTACGGGCGGGAGGCTAAGTCTGGGCCCCACAGCCGTGCCTGCCTGCAACCCTTCAGGATGCCCCACTGCTCGTGGAAGCAGTGTGGACGGGGGTGGACCCCTGACCAGACCCTCTGCGCCCCGGTTGCAGCGTTGAATTGCTTTACCAAGCAGAAACTCAGGGAACAGGGTGGCAAGTGTGTGCCTTGTGGGGCCTGTGAGACAGTACAGGTGACTGCCCGGCACCCGGGGTCTCGGGGAGGTCTCCCCCGTAAGTGTCCTGCCCCAGCCGGCCAGCCCCTGCCAGGGACCCTGCCTGCCCAGGACCTGGCCAGTGCCTCATTGCATTGCCACCCTTGGTGGCCAGGTGCCTTGGGGGCGCCCTTGCATGGGGAGGGCTGAGTACAGCTGCCCGCTGAGGCTGTTGCTCTGAGGCGTGGGGTTGGAGCAGAGCACAGGGTCCCTTCACTGAGCGCGGCTGCTCCCCTGCTGGGGGTCCTGGACAACTCCTCGTTCTCTAATTCCCCCCGCAAATGTGGACAGAGGGGAGAGGCTTTTACTTTTAAAATGTCTTCAATAATAAGATTCTATTCTGGGGGAAAGAGGAGTGGAGTTAAATATGAAAACTTTTTTTGTTTCTTTGATAAAACACACAGTGCCATGTTTCCTGGCTTAAACTCAATGAACATATAAAAGAGAAACCGGGTCCTGCTGCCTTGAGCCTGGTTCTGAGGTCCTGGGTCTGATCCCGGGGTGCAGATGGCACCAGTTGGAGGTTTTCTCTTGTCACAAAACTAGACAGCACAGAGGTTCTGTTCTCCACCAAAGGCGTTTCTCAGGGCCCCCAGGGGCCCGGGGAGGAGGACCTTGTGAGCTTTGTGGGTCCAGGATGCTTTCAGGGAGGGCGCCTCCTTTCACCAGGTGGGAACCCCAGCAGGAAGCGCTCAGTAGGGGGGGTGGTGCTGGAGGGGCCGCCTAGGCCCAGAGGCCCTCACGCCCGCCTCTCAGCTGGATCCTGGGGCGCTGGGTCCTCTGGGTGGGGAAGGGGGCTTCTGGCCTGCCCAGCACCTGGAGCTCCTGCCTGGGGCCGCCCCGGGCGCTGGGCCCGGTGGGTGTGCCCCGCACGTGAAGCGCTCTTGTGAAAGGAGTCTCTGCCCGCGGGGTGGGGGTCCCGTGTCCGGGCAGCCACGGTGGGCAGTCTAGGCCTCACTGGCGGACGTGGAGCGGCCCCGGAGCAGCAGGGCGCGGTAGGCGGGGGAGCTGAGGAAGCGGGGGTAGGAGTCTCGGTGCATCAGCGTGTAAATCTGCAGCTGCGCGTCGTCAAACGTGTGCGCCGACGGCTCCTGCATCTTCTTGTTGACGCCCTCCCGCACCCGGGAGTCCAGGCTCACCTGCGGGACAGGGGCCGCAGTCAGGGGCCCGGAGGCGCCCCGCCCCCCACCCCGGTCCCCGCGCGGCGCACCTCCTTGGGGGACAAGATGGACACGTAGTCCTCGTAGATGAGCCGCGCCTTCTCGTCCACCACGTGCTGGTTGGCCTCGGCCTTGAGCTCCTCGCAGGCCAGCCAGAAGAGCATGTTCTCCTCGCTGTACTCGGTGCGCAGGAACTCGCGGAACACGCTGCGGCCCGCTGGGCTGTGCATCAGCTTGTCGAAGGACTGCGCCCAGCTCCGCACCTCCTCAGGGCTCGGCGTGGCGCTGCGGGCAAGGGCATCCAGGTATCCGCCACAGGCCGCGCCAGGCCCCGCCCGGATCCCGACCCCCTCCCCCGCACCGCGCAGACCCGCCGCCAAGACTCACCAGGCTTCGCAGCTGGGGAGGGGCTGCAGCCTGCTCTCTCGGGAGGCCCGCCACGCTCGCCGCCGCTCCTCGTTCCTGCCGGCAGAGGGGACGGTGGCACTGCCCTCGGTGGCACTGCCCTCCGCGGCACGCGTGTGCGCGCAGGACGCTGGCCACACAGTGACACCGACACGTGTCTGTATGGGCACGAGGCCTAGGGGCTCTCAGCACACATGTGAACCCCCTGCGGGGCGGGTCTGCTCCTTTCCCAATCTCCGGTCCGGCCCTGCGCCCGTTTTCTTGCCTTTGGGGCTTCACAGGCCCCCCGGGTACCTCTCCCTCCCTGGCCTGACCTCAACCGGCACTGCTTTCTCCCAGAGACTCCGACTGATTGGGGAGAAAGCCCCCAGCCCGTGTGTCTGGCCCCTGACTCTCCCTCGGGGCCCTGCTTCTCTCCTTAGTTCCTGGCACAGCATCAGTGCTGGCTCCGCAGTCCACACCTCCGGCTGGACCTCTCCCCAGGGTCACTGAGACGGCTAACAGACACCTCAACCTCAAAGGTCCAGACAGAACTCAGCTCCCACCCTACCCCCACCCGCCGGACGCCAAACTCCTCGCTTGGCCCCCACGAGCCCTAACAATTCACGGCCTCCTGTCTCTACCCCCAGGCGGTCCCTCTCCTGTTTCAGGCCTCAGCTGCTCACTGCTCAGCTGATCCCCCTTTGGGTCCCCTCAGCGCTGTCCATTCAACAGCCACGGGGTGGAAGCCCGAAAAGGGCCAGGCCTCTGCGAGGCACAAAAACCCCAACAGGTTCCCTACGTGCCTAGAAACCACATCCCCCCTGGAGGCCCCACGTCCACCCCCTGCACTGTCCCAGGGCCAGGTCTCTGCTTAAAGCTCCTCCACCTGACACAAACTGTAGGACCTGTTTTTGTTCTGCTATAGGTCCCCAGGGCCAGTCTGGGCAGGCTTACAGTAGACACACGCGTGCGCGCGCGCGCGCACACACACGTGCTGGCTAGGTGCCTGCATGTGGCCACAACCTTGGCACACCAGCCATGAAAATCACACACACAGAGGGGCCTGGGCACTGGCCGCCCGTCAACAGACCCGTGGACGAGTGCTGTGGGTGATGCCTCAAGAGCCCCCCGAGGGGCTGAGGAGTGGGGTCCTGGATCCCAGGTCTGCTCAGTGCCCCCCGCACACCGGGCACACGGTGCAGCCCCGGCCCACGTACCAGGAGCAGCTGCAACAGCAACACCAGCACAGGCAGCAGGGGTTTCGCCTGGGGGGAGCCGGGGGAGCCGCATCACGACTGGACATGGAGGGAGGCTGGTCCCCCTCCTCCGGCCCTGTGTGCTGGGGGAAGACGAGGCCACGTCAGCCTCCAGGCAGAACCCGTGGGAACCACCTGCTTCCCCGCCCCCCCCCCTGCCCTCTCCCCCCCCCCCCCCCCTGCCCCCCGCCTGCCTGCTGGGGGCCTGCTTGCTCCCGGCGGGGCGTGACCCTTCTGGCCTCCCAGGTGTCCAGGGGTCTCCCAACTCCTGGTCATGCCCCCAGCCCCCGAGGGACAGAGTCAGCGGTGGAGGTGGCCCACCTGCTTCTCAGCCTCAGGCGGGGTGGGCATGGGTGGGTGGAAGAGGTTGCCGGGGCTCCGTGGTGCCTCCTCCAGGGCCCTCACCACAGCCTGGGGCTCTGAGAAGAGAGGCCGGGACTCTCATGGAGGACCTGACACCGGTGGCGGCCTGCTCCGCTGAACAGGTCCCGAGTCTCTCCCTCCTCCCGGAGGTGTCCCCCCCACCCCCTGCCCGGCCTCCCACCTCCAGACGGCTCTGCCCAGGCCCTGACCCCCACTCCAGTCTACCCTGTGGCTGGGAGGGGATGTGGGGTCAGAAAGGAGGGGACCCCAGACAAGATCGCCACAGGAGGTGCTGGGACACCCCCATCTGCTCGCTCCCTGGGAAGCCGGAAGCCAGGGTTCCTCTTTCTCGGTTTCCGGCTCCTGGCCCCTCCCAAGGGGGCTGGAGGCCCCCAGAGTCTGGGGCTATAAGAGCGGTGCATAGGGGTGGTGGTCAGACATTTAGACCCCCCATCCCAGCTCCCTCCATCCCAGGTTTTCCTCGGCTGCTGGGAGGTGGTGAGGGTTGCTCCCCACGAGGAGTCCGGATCAGCCCAGGGGAGGCTCCCCACCTGCTCCTGGGGACTCAGCAGGGGCAGCAGACCAGGCCTGCAGACAAGGAGGACTTGCGTAGGACTTGGGGCTGGGGCGGGACGTCCTGAGGGTGCGGGAAGTGCAGCAGGTACCGGTGAGGACGGCCGAGAGCCGCTAGGGACCGCCACCTTCTCGGCCCGGTCACTGGCCCGGCACCCGAACACTCGGCTGGCACCTTCCCGCGCCCAGGGTCTCCCGGCCTCCCTTCCCCTCCCACCCCACCCCCGCCACAGGCTGCGGAAACCGCTGCGGCCCCAGGCCTGCCGCAGGGCAGGGCGGGCGCGCCGGGCGGCGGCGGGGGAGGGGGTGCGTCCTGCTCCCTGGCGGGTCGGAGCCGCGGGGTCCCTTCCGCTCGGCGTCGGGGTGCACCTTCCACGGTGCGGGCGCGCGGGGGGCGCCGGAGCCCCATCCAGGTGAGCGGCCCCCGCGGGGAACCCGCGGACCCGAGCCGCGGGGGCGGCCAATCAGGGTCCAGGAGGCAGTTTTGAACGCCTCCCCACCTGCCTCCCAATCTCTACCTCGGCCTGCGCCCACCTCGGCCTAGGCGAGGTGCCCCGCCCCACCCCCGGGGCCGGGGGCGCCCCCTGGCACGTCGGCCGCGCGGACCTTCCTGAAACCCCGTCGCGAGACGCTCAGGGCTTGGTTTCAGTTTATTTTCTCATTAAATGATCATCCTCCCTGCTGCCCCCCATCCCTCAGCTCTTGGCCTTTTAATGTCTGCTTGGTCCATGTTGGCCTCGTGGGGTGTCCGATGGCAGAAGAGGAAAGTGGACGCTCTGGGACAGGCCCCGGGGCAGTCACCAGGCTAGGCAGCTCCTGCCTCCCAGCCACTGACCGGGTGCTGCGCTCAGAGGTGACAGCCCGGGATATGCACACCTGGGGCACCCCTGCCTCCAGAGCCTGGGCATGCGGAGGCCTCGGCCTTGACCCAAATCTGGGGGCCAGGTGTAGGGTCCCACGGGGCCTTGGCTACTTGGCCACCTGCCTGGCTTCCCCTGAGATCGCTGGGGGGGACCCTCCAACTGGATCCCACTGGCTTCCAGCAAACAGATGGGGATGAAGCGGCCCCACAGCATGCCTACCCTCAGGGGTCAAGTTTCTAGGGAAAGGAAGGGGTGTGGCAACCTCTGAGGTCTGGTAGCTGTACCCCAGAAGGGCTGTGACTTCCCCAGGCAGAGCGTCTCTTCCTCCTCTGCACCCCTACCCACTGTGAGCGGGGGCAGGGCCCCAACCCCCGCCCCCCCCAGCACCCTGAAGGCTGTACCCCTCTAGGCTGCCTTCTCCAACTCAGCTCGGACTTGGACGAGGGGACCTGCCTGAGGATGCAGGGCCCAGGTCCTGGGGCCGAGTCTGGGGCGGGAGGGGCAGGGGGAGAGGCCGTCCCTTCTGTCCTGGTTGTAGGCCCTGCACCTGGTCACCCATCCCTGGGCCTGGCTCCGTGCACCCTCCTCAGGCTGGCTGGGGCCACCTGTGCCCCTGGGGCACCTGCTCTCTTTCTTGGTGGGGGTACAGGGTCTGAACCAGGGTTCCCGCCCCTCATTTGGGCACTTGGGAGGGGGCTGCCTCCCCTTCCCCAGCCCCTCCAGGCTTTGGTCCCTAAGTCTGGGATAGGAGAAGCTGGACAGGCAGCAAGTTTGGCCTCTGGGGACAGAGGCTCCCTCGGGAGCGGCTGCTGCTCTGCTCCACAGAAGGAAAAAGAACGTCCCCGAGCCCGCCCAGTCCAAAAAAAGAATAAGAAAATGTGACAATCCCAGGAAAAAAATGCCATAACCTTTGGGAGGGGGGCTGACAGAGGGGCTCCATTCCCTTCTTCTCATCCTCCTCAGCACCTTGCTTGTCTGCCGCGCCGCCCCCCTCCCCCGTAGGTAAGTCCCAGCCTGGCTCCTCCAAGGCAGGCCAGGTCTTTCCTAGCCCTGGTGACCCTCGCCACTGCCCACCTCTACAATGGTGGGGGCAACCCACTTCTCTCTCTCCCTCTCTCTCTCATGGTAGGGTTTGGCCTGGAGAAGTCTGCCCCTTCCTCCAGCCTCTGACGCCCCCACCCCAATCTCAAGGAACTCGCCGTGCGCCCCACTCACCAGCGACCCAAAGGCGAGGCAGGGGCGGGAGGGGCCAGGTTCGCTCTGGGCCCCACCCTGGCTGCCGAAGGGGCGTGTACTGCAGCAGCAGGACTCAAGTCAGACGGCAGGAGGTCCTCCTGCGCGTTCTGGAGCGAGGCTGGCGCCTGGAGCCCCCGATCGGCTCGGGCCGGGGGCGCAGCGCCTCCCCTGCGACTGGCAGGGATGAGTGGCTGCCAGATCCAACAGGGTGGGGGCGGGGGCAAACCGGGTGTCCCGCCTCGGCCCCTCCCCACAGGCTGAGGGGGGGGACGGGAGACGCGGAAACCTGGGTTCTTCCGGCCCCCCCCCCCCCCGCTTTGAGCAATCCCTTCCCCAGGCTTTGAGCTGCAGAAAAGGGGAACCCGGCTGCAACGGCCCCTCCCCCACGCGCGGGGACGGGCTCTAGTCCTGCCGCGGCCCAGGGTCCACGTGGACCCCGCGGCGGAGTTCTTGGGGCGCGGATTCCGGCGCCAGTTTCCGAGGCTCCCGCCCCGCACGGCCCCCGGGCCCTGGCCGGAGGGGCAGGGCCGCGGTCCTCGGCGCCGCGCGCGCGCACTCACCGGCCGCGCTCCCGAGCCACTCGCGCCGCAGCCGCCGGCCCGCGCGCTCCGAGGTCCGGCCGAATCGTCGGGGAGCGGGCGCAGGCTTCAGTGCGCAGGCGCCTCGGCCTCACTTCCCCAAAGCGCGGGGCCGGGACTTCCTCGCACGGGCAGACGCCGGCCGGGCCCGCCCCGCCCGGCGCGCCCCGCCCCGCGTTCGGCCGGCTCCTCGCCCCACGCGCCCACTCCCCACCGCCCCGCGCGCAGGAGCGCGGCGCCTCCGTCCCCACCGTCGCTTAGGATGGCCCGTGCTGATGATGGGGCCTCTGGCCCCCCGGGGCGGCTGAGTTGGTACTGCGGCAGCTGGGGGTGTGGCCGTGCCCCAGCTCTGCGCGGCAGGGCCGGTCCGGCGTTGCCGTTACGGGGTGGGGTGGGGTGGAGGTTGGGGGGGGCCTCCCCATAGGTTACTTGCCCTGCTCGAGGGAGAGGCCACTGGAAAGGACTGTCCCCCGAGGTCAGTCCCGGCCTGGCCCTAGCCTCTCTGGCACTGGGTGTCCTCGCCTGTGAAACAGGGTTAAGGACGCGCTGTCACCGTGCTGTAGGGGACTCTTCCCGAGGAAGGGGGTTCCTGGGCTTCGGTGCCCGTGATGCCGGGGGTACTGGTTCTTATAAACGGGGTCGCCAAATGTCCCTGTCTGCGGGGCCTGGCTGAGTCCCTTTCAACCCCTCCAGGTGCCCCCAGATGTTCTACCGTTTAAAGCCACACCTCCCCTTTGCCACGAATGAGTGTCCCTTCTCTTTGGACAACTCTCCTCATATTTTATGACCTGGTATAGCTGTGATTTAAATTCCTTATCCCAGCATGCTTTGGGCCAGTGTCTGGGAGGCCCTGACCCTGCTCGGGAAGTGGTCTGCAGAGCGTCTGGGTCCCCCCGGCCTCCGGCCGTACGCAGCGCTTGTCCCCTGGCGCCCAGGCCGCTCACACAGTGCCTTCCAGCTGCTCAGGGTGTAGGTGCTCACTTTGCTCAGCGCTCTTGAGGGTATAAAGGGAAGTGGAGATTTTACGCGTGCTCTTCATTCATCCAGCAAGTGTCTGCGTGTCCCCTGTGCGCCAGTCAGTGGGACCCGGCAGTGAGCAGGACAGACAAGCCCCGGAGCAGACAAGAAGTGGACTTGCAGACTGGGTGAGAGGTGAGGAGAGCTAAGGAGAACCACAGAGCGAGGAGGGGGGTGTTTCACTGCTCCCGCTTGCTCTGCACAGGACGGAGCTGGAGCCGCTAGCAGGGCAGCAGGGCAGGAGCTGAGCTGAAGAGGGTGCGGGCCAGGGTCAGGGAGGAGAGAGGGGCCCTGCAGTCCGGGGGGCGTCTTGATGCCGTGTGCCCGGGGGGCTTGGCTGCCATGTTGACAGGCTGGCTGGAACAGGGCAGAGGCTGGAAGCCTGCCCAGATGGGAGGTGGCTGCCTCTTATGTAGCCTAGATAACAGTCCTGGGAGGCAGGTCCTTCGGAGACGGGCCAGAGCTTAGTCAAGGTCACACAGCCCTGCCTGTGCCATGGTACTTGACGTGGCATCTTCACCCGCCTCCTGAGACGTGTGGGGCAGCTGGTGTCGGGTGTCGGTCAGCGCACTTCTCTTCCACTCAGGCCACACTCTGTACGCGTCTCTGGCCCTCCCCTCCCCCTCCCAGCCCCCCATACACTGCCCTTCCTCTCACCACCCCCGCATGTCCCCCGGCCACTTAGGTCTCTCCGTGCCCCTTGCCTCAGCCCTCGTGGGTCTTCTGCCCTTCCTCTGGGAGTCTATCCCGTATTCCACAGGAGGAACCAAGTGGGCCGGGCAGGAGCTCATTCAAGGCTGTGCAGCAGGTAATGCTGGGGGTGGGATTTGAACCCAGGACGCTCTGTCTAGAGCATGAGCTCCCAGCCCCAGTACATTGGGCTGTGGCCTACATGCTTTGCTTTCCCATAGCAGAAGCCTCCTTCAGGCCCTGCAGAATTGTCCTCGGCCACTTTCCCGGGCCTTCTCTGCAGACCGAGGACCCCTCCCTGGTGTGGGGATCAAAGGGTGGCCATGTGCCAGCCCCACGCCTGGTGCGGAGCTGTCTGTGAGGCCGCCCTCTTGCTGGCCTCCTCGGGGCGGTGGGTGCCTCTCTCGTCCTCCGTCCTCAAGCGCCTGCCTGATACTCCCCTGCCCCTCGCCCAGGCCACCTTCTCTTCCCCTGTTCCGTGTTTCCCCTACCTGCCTGAACCGCCCCCCGCACCCCCCCCTCCATAGAGAGCGCCCCCCTCCCTCATGGAGCTTCCAGTCTCCAGCTCCACACACAGTTCTGGGCTTGGATCAACGCCAAGGGTGCGACAACCCAGAAGAGGCGAAGGGTCTTGTGAGGGGGAAGGGCTTGCTGAGGTTACAGAGGGCTCAGGTCCCCGTTCTGAGCTGCGTCAGGGAGGGCACTGGCCGCCACAGAGCAGGATTCCTTGCTGGACCCCAGCTCTGACCTCTGCCAGTAGAGGGCCCACCCCTCCAGGACCATTTCTCTGCTGCAGGCTGGCAACTCTGCCAGAGCCTCCTGGCAGGGGAGGGCCTTGTCTGAGGCCCCCACCTCTGGGAGGGAGGAAAAGGGAGAGCCGGCTAAGAGAAATCTCAGTCTCTGCAAAGAGCCTGTGTTGGGCCGGAGAGTAAGTTCTCGAAGGGGAGATCTGTCCAGAAACATGGGAGGTTCTTCAGAATCCAGAGGGTTTGCAGGATGTGGGTTTGTCAGAATGGAACAGGGGCGGTGTCCTTCCTGTCCTCTGTGTGTGTACGTGTGTGTGTGTGTGTGGGGGGGGGTCCAGTAAGGGGGATCAAAGGGCCAGAGGAGGATTATCAAGATGGAAAGGAAGACCCGAGGGTGATTTCTGCCTGAAGGGTCTCGCCCTCCCCAGTCTCCTGGTCCTCTGAGGGCCTCCCAGGCGTGGCTGACTGTCCAAAGGCCAGCTTTCGCTTCTGCAGTCACTCTCCTGTCCGGAATGTCACCTTCCTCGCTGACCCTCTGATGGAATGACCTGCAGTCTGGGGTCCTACTTGGGTACCACTTTCCCCCTGAGGCTGCCCTTACCTCTGGGGGTGTGACTGTTGCTGAGCCAGGCTCTTCCTCCCATCACACCCAGGCTGGGGGCTCCCACGGACTCACAGGGCACCAGATTGCCTGATGGGGGCAGCGTGGGATTTGGGGGATCAGGGGTGTCCCTGCCCCCTGTGAGTCTGATGTCAGCCAGCTTGTAGCTTTTCTACTTTGTTGGAGCTGCACTCTGAGTACCCCAATGCCTGTGACATCGGATGTGGGAGACGCAGCATCCATCCTTCCCCCCTTCCCTCCCAGGGGACCTAGAGCAAGGAAGCCTAGAGATCAGGGGGTGCTTTGAAAGTGAGAACTTTATGTAGGAGGGTGGGGCACAGCCGTGCACTGTGGGGTCGCCATCAACGCGGGAAGATGCTGCCGTCGACTTTCTCCTCCAGAATGGTTTCCACGCGTCTCCGCTGCGGGGGAGGAGGTGCTGGGGCCGGGTGTGCGGGGCGGAGGGCGGAGGGCGGAGGGCGGGCTCCCGCCCCTCCCCGGCCCTTCCCGGGCTCGCGGTCACCTCTCGGCGGTCTAGGGGGTCTGGGATCCGCGTGGGCTTCAGCTGCGGCGGCAGGAACAGCTCCAGCCGGAGGGCGGCGCGCGCGGACTTCTGCCGCAGGATTAGGAGCGAGATCTCCCCCGCCTGCGGGTGCCGGGGTCAGGGCGCGGGGATGTTGCGGAGCCTTGGCTGCGGGCGGCCCCGCCTCGCCCTCAGAGCCCCCGGCCGGGTGGTCCCCCCGCCCCGGC